GATGAAGATCGCGTGTCCCGACTGTCGATAAGCCGCTAGTCCGCGCCTTGAATCGCCGATAGGTGTTCTTCGAGCCACGCCCGCGCCTCTTGGAACGAATAAAATTGCAATCGAATTTTGGTGGAAAACTAAAGCAAAGTGTTTGAACAAAAGTTCTGGATTTTCTACTAACTAAGACTATTTAAATATTCAATTCATCACATATAAAAAAAAATAACAAGAGTACATGGGTATTTATAGGAGAAACTAGATCTAGTCCTATGAGAGCTATAATTCTAACTAGAAAATAATATCTACTTCTAAGGCAACTAAATGTCTTGCATCCCAAGACTTAACAAATAATTAAATACTAATTCCTAACAAACTAAATAACTTACGGCTAAACATAAATAAATACTAACCTAACCGCCACTAATTATCTAACCTCACGCTAACCATAATTCTAACTATTACTAACCTATCAAATATATTCTAACATAAACTAATCCTAGGAACTAACTTACGCCACTAACATACTAACAACTATTAATAACTACTAATTAATCAAATACTAACAACTAATTAAATTAATAATAAGTATCTTCTAGAATCTTCGCCCTCGACTCGCACGGCTCGCCTCGTGTACCCGCGCATCACGTCCGTGTACGACCCCCCGTGCTTGGTCGCGCGCTATTCCTCGCCTCACGAGGCCTCTCGATCCTTCTCGTGCGCGTGTCTCGTATCGGGTCTCACCCAGTCCTCGTCGTCGACCTGCAGGATTTCCAAGTCTCTGCCATGCGCGTCTTGACCCCGTGCGATAAGCCCGAGGCTATGCGTGTGTCCACGGCTCACGTCGCCTTCCTCGTGAACGTCGCATACGGGCTCGTACCCGTCTTTTAGGCCATGCATTCATGGTTTTGGCCCTTTTCTCGGCCTTTTCGGATCATCTCGGCCATCGGCTCTCGGCGTGCTCGGGCCTCGAAAGCCACTTCCGCATCATTCCTCCCCCCTTCGAATGAGTCCTTGTCCTCAAGGACTCGCCAATGACCTTCACTTGGGGCGTCGCCATCACTTCATCTGCATTGTCCTCCCTGTGCGTCTCGTCATCATGGCCCTCTTCGACCATGACCAAAATCTCCTCCTCGACCTCGGCTACCTCGACTTCTTTGGACTCGGCTAACATTCCTTCGACCATGATCTCGCTCGCGACATCCATTAACTCATCTTCGGGCGTGTCTTGCTCGACCGTAATTTCCACCTCGACCAATTCGACCTTCGGCCCCTTCTTGGACTTGCCTTGGGCCTTGCCGCATGGTCTTAATTCCTTCGAAACATAGGTGTTGCTCGGCTTGTGCCGCTGGGGTTGTTCGCGTACGTGCGGCTGCGGTGGTGGCCATCCCCTTTGGTGTTGGAGGTGGCTCGCCAATTCGTCGAACCTTCGGTTGATGGCCTCCATCAACGCCGTGCGGTGATCGGTTAGGGCGGCCTTGGTGTCGACAAGCTCTCTGGTTATGGCTTCGAACCTCGCATCGACAGATTCGCTCATGGTTT